ATCTACGCCGCGTCGGCCACCTCCGTCCTCGCCCTGCACGCCGCCACCGGCAAGGAGCTCTGGCGGTGGACCGCGCCCGCCGACAAGGCGGGCCTGCGCGTGGCGGCGCTCGTGCCACAGGGCGGAGAGGTGCGCGCGTACGGCGTGCTGGACGGGCGGCTCGCCGTCGCGACGCTCGGCGCCTCGGACGGGGCCCCCGCCTCCAAGGGCGTCGAGCTGATCAAGGGGGAGGCGCTGCTGGGAGGCGCGCCCCTCGTCGCCGTGCCCGACGGCAGCCGGCTGGTCAGCCTCTCGGCCGACAAGGCCAAGCTGGTCGTGCACGCGGTCGGGTCGGGCAAGGCGGAGGCGCACCCGCTCGCCGCGCTCCTGCCGGCGGGCGCGGCGGCGGAGGCGCTCTCGCCCACCCCGCTCCCGGGCGGCGCCCTCCTCTCCCTCGCCGGCGGCGGATCCGCCGTCGTCGCGCTCGGCAAGGGCAGCGCGCCGGCCCGGCTGGCCAAGCACGTCGCGCCGGCCGCGGCGGGCGGGGCGCAGGCGCTCGCGGCGGCGGAGTGGAAGGAGGGGGGCGCGCTCCTCGCCCTCGCGCGCGCCGAGGCCGGCGCCCTCACCCTGCAGACGTGCGAGCTCGCCGCCGACGGCGCGGCGTGCGAGTGGTCGGCGGCAGAGCCGCTTGGCGAGGCGGACGGCGAGCTCGGCGCGGGCTTCGCGGCGTGGGTGGGGCCGTACGCGCGCAAGGACGGGAGCACCGGCGCGCGGCTGCTCGTCCGCTCCGCCGGCGACGCGCTCGCCCTCCACGTGCGCGCCGCCGCCGCGGCCGCCGAGGGCGGCAAGGGCGAGGGCGGCCGGCTGTGGGTGCGCGAGGAGGCGCTGGCTTCGGTGAGCGGCGCGGAGCTGCTCCCGCTGCCGGCGATCGCCATCGACCGGGGCGCGGCGGAGCAGCGGCCCTTCTTCGGCTTCGCGCTCCCCGCCGTCGCGGACGGCATCAAGAGCCGCCTCGAGGCGCTCCAGCGCTCGGCGGCCGAGGCGGAGGCCGAGGCGAAGCGGCTGCTGCTGCTCGGCGACGCGTACGGCTCGCGGCAGGTGGTCGTGGCGGCGACGGCGGCGTCCAAGCTCTTCGGGCTGCACTCCTCCACCGGGGCGGTCCTCTGGTCGCGCCACGTGCCCCCCCTCGCGCCTGGCGCCCCGCCGCCGCTGCTGCGCGGCCCCTTTGTCTCCGGCTCGGGCGCCACCGCGCTGGTGCACGTCGTCGCGACCGACGGCGGCCGGTGGGCGGTGCTGACGGTGGGCCCGTTCGACGGGTCCCTCGTCGGCGAGCGGCGCGAGGAGGGCGAGCTGGTCCACGCGGCGCAGCTGCCCGGCTCTGCCGCAGGCACACTCCTCCTCGTCGACGCGTCGCTCGGCGCGACGACGCACCCCGCCACGCCGGCGGCCGGGGCGGAGCTGGCGAGTCGCCTCTCCACAACCTTCTTCCACCTCGTCTCGCCGAGCCAGGTGCAGGGCTTCGGCCTCGTCGCCGCGGCCGGCGGCGGCGTCCGCGCGAGCGCGCGCTGGTCCGTCGCGCTGCCGCCGGCCGCCAGCTCACGCACCGCCTACTTTTCGCACCGCGCGGCGGTGCACTCGGCGGTGCGCACCAAGGGCGACCGCTCGGTGCTGCACAAGTACATCAACCGGAACGTGCTCGCGGTCGGGTCGGAGGTGAAGCCGGCGGGCGGCGAGGCGCCCTACGTGCAGCTCCTCCTCCTCGACTCCGTCTCTGGCCGCCGCCTCCACTCGGCCCGCCACTCGAACTGCGCCGGCCCGCTCTCGCTGCTGCTCGGCGAGAACACCCTCCTCTACTCGTACCGTGCCGAGGGGCGGGACGGGCCGCAGACGACGCTGACGGCGGCGGAGCTGTACGTCAACTCGTCCGTCGCGAGCGGCGTCCTCTCCCTCCTTGCGATGGGCCCGCTCGACCCCTCCCTGCGCAAGAACCAGTTCGACGCGTTTGCCGCGCCGCCGCCGCTCGTCCTCTCGCAGTCGTACGCGTTCCCGACCTCGATCGCGGCGATGGGGCTCACCCTCACCCAGAAGGGGATCACGCCCAAGCAGGTCGTCGTCGCGACATCCGCCGGCGAGCCTCGCCGCCCGCCGCCGCGCGCCCCGCCTCTCCCCGGGGCGGGCGGCCCGACCCATCCTCGGCACCTCCTCGGCACGCCTCCCCCGCAGGAGAGCTCGTCGCGTACGACACGCGCCTCTTCGACCCGCGCCGCCCGTTCGTGCACCCGCAAAAGATGTCGGCCGCCGACAAGGAGGAGGGGCTCGTGCCCTACTCGCCCTCGCTCGGCGGCATCAACGCGCTGCAGGTCGTCTCGCACCGGCACACGGTCGCTCGGCCGCGCGCCATCGTCGCCGCGCCGACCGTCCTCGAGTCGACGAGCCTCGTCTTCAGCTACGGGCTCGACCTCTTCCTCACGCGCGCCGCGCCGGCGCGCACGTTTGACCAGGTGCGGGCGGCGGCGTCGCTCCCCTCCAGCCC